AGTGTTGACTTTTGAAAATATTTCATTAGAAAGTGTTGGTGTGTTTGAAATGATATTGTTTTAAAAATGGTTGTGAGCAAGCAACTACAAGCGTTCTACCTACTCAAAAAGTCTTGGTTCTTTTCCTCCTCCTTTAGATGTTGCTATCTTACCATTTATTGATAAGAAGCCCTATCGTTGGATGTGAAGGGACGGAAGTGGATCGTCGTATAGTCATAGAAGGCAACATTGTAGGATACCTTAGCAATTTGTCATAAGGGTCTAAGATCGTTTACGAAAAGCAACATTGAAGGGTCATCGAGGGACTACGATCTTATATTCGACGGTCATTGTTAAAGTATCCCACGTTCGAGGGACGTGACTGTTTTATCTCAAGGCAACAAGTGTGGATTACCCTAGAGGTGTGCGTGTACGAGTGTATTGATTTCATGCTTTTTTTTTCTTGAATTAGGGTTGTCTACTTGTTGATTTTAAGTCTTTCCACACATACCCTAATTACTAGCAATTATATTGAAAGCGGTAAATTGCGGAAATGTAAATTCTACGCTATTACATCTTTTTTGGGGATGGGGATACAAGTTTATGAATGGAGGATGAAATCAATAAAGTTCTAATTATATTATTACAACCATATTGAATATTTAATGACAAAAAAAATATAAATAAATATAAATATAATGTAAAAAAAGAAAAAAAATGGTTTAAGAAGATTTTTATGTATTGACACATGAGCTTATGCATTGATACAAAAATTTTATGTATTGACGTATGCATTGGCTCATATTGCTTTGTATTGGCTCATATCATCTCTTTTCCCCTAGAAATCAAAATCCACTCAGTATGAGTCGACACATAGGGTTTTGTATCGACTCATACTGCTTTGTATCGACACATGCAAGCTTTGTATCGACTCATACTCATTTCTAACTCTTGGAAGTCAAAACAACTCAGTATGAGTCAACACATAAGGGTTTTGTATCGACTCATACTGCTTTGTATCGATACATACACATTTTATGTCGACTCATAATCTATTTTGTACACAATATATGTCGACTCATAGTGTTTCGTATCGACTGATACTGCTGTTTTTTACTTCTGTCATTGTTTTGCTACATGTAAAAGTCAGTTCTCAATACATGGTTAGTGAAAATGAAAAACAAGAAAATATTTAGCTTCAAGGCAATGATGTCTATATTTTATCTTCACAAATGAATCATTAATTATGCTTTTTATTAAGAGTTCAATGTCAAGGAAACTTACCTTGAAACTGAAACTTGTGCTTTGAGTTTGAGTTGGAGAAATCAAGTTGCAAGTGGCTGTTTTTGAGTTTTGAAAATAGTGATGTTACAAAAGTTGTTATTGAGTTTGAACAACTTCTATATGATATATGTGGAGTGTTTGGATGGTTTGTTTGGACATGACTTGCAAGGTGTGAAAGGTTCAAAGGGTTTGGATTTTAAAGCTCAAAGATGGAGGTTTTTGTGGACAATTCTGATTTTTAGAGTATAAGGGGGGTTTGAAGACTTTTCAATACACAAGAATATCTCTATTTTTCTCTGACCTCTTATCTTGCAAATGCTCCCTCTATTTATAGGCAAAAGGTTTGTAAACAAGGGCTAAATTGGTTTACAAGACATCATGTTATGGTTTGGTTGGGATGCAAATATCAAACTATGTCAAGTATTCCATGGTTCCAAGATGAAGTATCAAAGTTGATGGTTTAGAGGGGCTACTTTCCATGATTTATGGTGGAGTAAAATCATAAGCAAACAAGGTATGGGCTCAAGACAAGTTTTGTGCCAACAAGCTTGATTTTCAAGAATAACAATGGTGCCTTTATGCCATAAATGGAAAGATCTTTTGGACAATGGCTAAAACACTTGGGTAATAGCTCAAAAGTAGGTGTAAGCATTAAATTATGGTGAGATTGGCAAGTTAGAAGGCCTGCAACACAATATTATGCAGCATAGCATAAGGATTTTGTTATGTGTTCTTCAACACAAAGACTTACAATTCAAGAATGGATGCCCAACTTCATGCCTTTGAATCTCCTAGCTCAAGTATGATAAATTCATGTTCTTGGACAAAATCATCTTGGAACTATGTGAACAATTCCAAGAAGTTGAGATAAAATCCTGACCAAAATCTGTTGAAAATTTCTCTAAGTGCTAGATGAAAAGTCACGTCTTCATGGGCTTATATCTTCAAATCTAAGCATTTTTTGGACATCAATCCTCTAATACAAAGTTGTAGAATTCATCAAGATCTACAACTTTCGTGTTGAAATTTTCCTTTGAATCATTTTGCATCATGGTGAAAAATTGGTATGAAGTTATGAAATAAACATGTGCAAAACACAGAAAAAATTCATAAGTCTTGAAAAGTTTGACTTTTCAAATTAACTTTTGACTTTCTTAACTTTTTAATGATCAAGCTTGATATTCTTGAATATCTTGATGAATTTTGATCTTTGAGATTTAACGTTGATCAAAAAGTCAAAGTTTGACTTTTGGCGTATCAGTTGACTTTTCGTCATCAAAAAGTCAAAGTTTGACTTTTGGCGTATCAGTTGACTTTTCATCAGTACAGTTGATTTTTGGTCATCTGGTCAATTGATTGAGCATAATTTGTGATACAAGATTTAAATTTTGACATGAGCATTCTTAAAGGTCCACAATGATCCATGAAAATCATTTGAAGTATTAGAATTCCAATTGTCCTTGAGCAAACTCAAACCATAATTTTGAGGTATCAGTGTTGAGGAGATGGTTTGACCTAGTCAATACTTGTGCAAGCTTGAGCTTTTGCAGATCTTTGTGAAAAATGTCTTGAGAAAAGAGAGGAAAAATTTTGGGGTACAACAATGTCATCTTCATTTCGTATGTTCGGGTCGAAGGCTGATTCTTTGAGGAAGACCCTCAGAAATGCGAATTACCAGAGAATTTTTGTGCTGAATCGGATTTTTATTCCACCATTTCTCGATATTGTAAAAATCTTAACTTTTTCGATATTTATCATATCGAGACGATTCTTTCGACATAATTTCACAAATGATGTTGGCTACGAGTTTGCTTCATATCTCGAGGTCGAATTAAGCTCCGAAGACTTCGTTTCATGGCTCGCATCTCAGACTGGTCAGTGAAAAATTCCGCATTACTGGAAAAAGACAACGTCAGTATGAAACGTTCTCGCCACTCGAAAATGCATAACTTGCTCGATTTTTGTTTTGTCGCGTCCGTTATTTTGGCATGACGTCACAAATTTTGTCATCTACAATGTTGTTGTTGATCTCGCGTCGAAATTACTCGCTGATTATCATTGAGTTTGTAAATTTTCTGTTTGAATATGTGTGCTGACATTGAAAATTCAGCTTTGTGAACAAATTGATTGGACTTTCTCTTGACCCAAACCAAAGCCAATTTGTCAATACTATATATTGATTTTGCCTCACTATTTTCACAACATTGGACTCATTTGCTAAATTTCACATTCAAAGCTCTCAAATAATCTCTTCACTCTCATCAAGAACAAAGTAGAAGAAAAATCAAAAATCTCATTCCTTCCAAGATCCGAACAACCGTGAGACACCGCTACTGTTGCCTCACTTTTCGGCGACTCCTCTGCAAGCTCAGGCATATCCCACTCTCATCGTCGCATCACCCTCCGAAGAGAACTCCCTTCGGCCATCTGCGATTCTGCTACAGATTCGCGTTTCCTCTCTTCGCGCGATTTCAGCCTCAATCTCCTCCACCTCCTTTGTGTTTTTTGGCCAGCTCTCGTCTTCTGATCTACTTCTCCGATTCATTCTTTAATTTCGGTAATTCTTCATACTTATCTTTGAGTTTCTTGATTCAATTGATTAGTTGCTTAATTGATAATTGATTTTAGGATAAGAGATTACATGAATTGAATTGAATTGATTTAAGAAGCTTGATTGAATTTGTTAGATATGTTTGATTCTTGAAGTAAATTGGAGAGTTGAATCTATTTGTTCATAAATTCTTGAATGCTAAGAATTTAATTGAATTGTTGATTATGTCGAAATTCAGAATTGGTTGAGTATTTGATGTGTTCATGTGAACCTTGAGATTTAGTCCGATTAATTGCAAATGCGTGTTAATATCGATTTGTGATGAGAATCAAGTTCAATACCATGATGTTGCAACTGGTTTTAAATTCAGAATCGCCACCCTTAATTTTTATCCTAATGGAAGGGAGTATAAAGGAATAACTCTAAAGTCACATGATGATATCGGAGTCCTGTATATTATAGTCGAAGTACGTTCAAGCATACAGTAGTCGGAATGCTAGGTTTGTTAGCATATTAAATTGGACTTGTTTGTTTATCCAATTTTTTTTAAGTTAGCTTAATAGTTTATAAATAGACTAGTTCTCTCAGATTGTTGAGAGATATTGATTGTTGTTACTCACTTGTAATTTTTAAACGCTAATAGAGAAAATGAATAAAAAAACAGTTACTATCAATTCTAATTTTCTTTTTCTTCTATCTCTCGTAAAAGTCTAATAGAATTTCTTGTGTTTGTTCAAAAAATTCAATCTTTTGACTACACTGTGTCACAGAATATGAAAGGCACAGTAAAATATATTATTGCTATTTAATCAACTTTCTTTTCACTTCTATTTTTATCAAACTACTGAAATATCATCTTATTTTAATCATTTTATTTCTCTTAACTATCTTTTCTTTCGCTTTGTACCGTTTTAATTTTTTGTGATCCATATAAAACCTAACTCTGTCTTCTACGATAAGTTAGCAACCAAATTTTATATTTAACAAATAATTGAATCGTGTCCCTTCATCATTACCTAGATGATATGTGGAGGACATCCTCAAATAATCTCGTACAATCTGTCACCGTCCTAGAAATAGAATTTGACACGCGTACTAATTTTGCTGCCACCCTCTTGTATTCAAACAAAGTATTTATATATCCATATTCTATGCATACATGACAAACACAAGTATCCAAACAATGATGAAAGGTTCTTCTTTTGTTTCTAACGTCCACAATATTTCATTTTCTCCTTCTTTGATTAGTTCTAACCCTTTTGATCAACGCCATGTGACTTTGAAACCATTATTGGCAAAGGAGAGAATTTGGCCAAAAAATGTTGGTTGTTTTGTTAAGCAACAAAAGGGTAAAAGTGGGATAGTAAGAGAGTTGGAGAGAGAGCTTGAAGGTGAGATTGATGAAGAAAAAGGTAAAGGTAAAAGTGGAGTGACAAGGTTTAGAGAAAAGTGTGGAGAAAAGAAAGGAGTTGTGGAGTTGTTGGAGTGTTTGGAAAAGGAAGCAATAATGGGTGATGATGTTGGGAGAGAAGCTAATGATTATAATCGAAGGGCTCAGATATTTGATAAAAGCTCTAGAGTTTTCCAAGCTCTTAAAGAAGTCAATGATCATGCTTGAATTAAATTACTTTCGTAAGTATTGATTCTGACTCGGTTCAAGTTTGTAGTACTTTGAAACAAGTAAATAGTGACAATTTGTATCTTTTGTTGTATGTACTAAAAGTATAGGAGAATGGTTTCATTCTTAGTATGATATAAACCTAGGAAAATTGATCAGCATTAGAAGCTGACATCTGAGGACTATTGTGTAGAATTAGATTGTTGTGTTTTGGTTTTTATTCGTATTTCTTTATGTTGTCTGTAATAATTGGAATATACATACTTTTGTTTCTTTATTATGTTTATGTAATTAGTGGTGCATTGGATACCAATAGCGAGATGTTAAAATAAGTTGAAGTTTATGAGTCAGGCTCATTCGATCCAAAAAAGAAAAAAATTAGGGTTTGAATATATTTTTCGAGTCTATTTATTTTCGGACCTCTTTTAGTCCCGTTTGAGAAAACCTTAAAAAATATGAGTTAGTTTGTGTAGGTTATGGGTAGTATAGGTCATGGGGTAGTCTATCGGTCTGAAAAAATTTTTTAAAAAAAATTAAACAATTTCTTTTTTAATTGGGTCAAGTAACTCACTTACAACCAGTCCAATATCATTATAATTCAATATTTATAATTTTTATAATTCAATATTTATAATTTTATATAAATCGTCAGTATAAATCGTCAATTAGTATAAATAGATAATTTTTATAAATGGATAACTTTAACATTTAAAATATGGAATTCTAGATATATTATAAATAAAAATATGGAATTCTAGATATATTATAAATAATTTGCGTATTATATATTTTTTTGTTTGAAAATCTAACAAATTTTATTCTAATATAATTATATAAAAAGTATAGATATTTAAAAATAAAGTTGAAATGATATTTAATAAAATATTTTTTTTGGTCTTTTAATTATAATACATCATAGTTTACTTTGGTCCCTTATTTTTTTTTGTTAAATTAATTTTTTAATTTTTTTTTGTTAAATTAATTTTTTAATTTTTAAAACGATATAAATAAGTCTCTTTCATTTATTTCATTGGTTAAAGTCTATTAAAAATTTATATGGCACATTTGATCAATCATTGTGACAGAATTAGCATCGGAAAAATCAACGCTAAAAATTATTTCTGAATTTTGACTATTATTATTCATTTTCTTCCTCTGATTTTTAACAATAAAACTCAAACCATTAAATCTGCCACAAATTTTTATAACATTAAAACAATTTACATTGAAACAAATATAACCCTAAAAATTGTTTCTGAATTTTTGAATTTTGTTCTTACCCAATATACTAATAAATCCAATCAGATCTCAAACTCTTCCTTTTCTTTTTTTCAATTAAATCCAAATCTCAAACTCTTCCTTTTCCTTTTGTTAATTAAGATGACATGTTAGGTAATCCTGCACTTGTCATACTGAAACTATAAAGTTGCTGTGAATGTATACTTTAATCTCGAATTAGATTATTATGCGCGAGATAATGAAAACAATAACTGGCTCACAAAATTCGCTCCAAGTTCACAATTAAGAAACTCGGTAAACCTTACACACGTTCACAACTAAAATTCTAAGTCGGTTAGTGAATTTCAATGTTCCAAACCCAGAAATCACTTATCAACATCCATACCGAATTATTAATGACAAAACAAGCTAAATTTACTTTAGCATATTAAGTTATTTCTTTTTCAATTGAAGAAAAATCAAGATGAGAAAGCATACATACATATGTTTGGAAAAGGAAAGGAAGTTACCTTAAAAAAATTAAGATGATATCAAAAGATTATGGTTGTCGAAACTATAACTTGAAGATAATTGCGGTGAAGGAATTGTAGAATATGAGAAAAATCAGACAAGGAATTTGGTAGAATCAAAAGATGATTCTCGTATAGGAAATCATCTGGTTGGATAATAAATTTTAAAATTCAGAAATAATTTTTAACATCGGTTTTTCTGACGTTAATTCCGTCATAATAGTTGGTCAAATCCATCTGGCACTGCCACATAAATTTTTAACAAATTTTGACTAATAAAGTAGACAAAAGAACTTGTTTGCATCATTTTAAAAATTAAGAGATCAATTTAATACAAAAAAAATAGATAAAGGACCAAAGTGAATTATGACTTATAGTTAATGGATCAAAATTGATATTTTACTTAAAAAGTTATAATGTAATTTTTATGGGAGGATAGAGTTAGTACAAATCAGATATATAATAATTTATTATAAAATTATATCCCAACAATCTAATTATAATTGTTATAAAATTATAATTGTTAGAAAATTTTATAAAAATTTGTTATTATAATTTTTATTAAATTATAATTGTCATAAATATTTATAACTTAAAATTTGTTGGAATAATTTATATAATTGTATGATATATTTTAAATAATTTGAATTAAGCTAATGTGTTATATTATATTTTAATTATTAATTTATATAAATTATTTAGAAATTTTAATTTTGAATATGATTTAATATATATACAACAAGTACTATTGCATTCAATTGTATAGTTATTTATAAAAGTAAGGAGAAAATTTTCATTTTATTTAAAAATGAGTTCGTTTAGAGTCGGATAGCCTGCAGTCCAGACAAGACTGGGCCTGGGTAGTAAAAATAAAACTTATTTAAATATAAGTTTTTTAAGTTCGACCCTGAAAAATCTATCATATAAGCCGATTTGTTTAGGACCAGATAGTCCATTTTAACAACTTTACTGATAACAATAAATAGATAGATTTTTTAATATATTTTTGACATCAAAATAATTTTTTTGGATAAATTTTTTATATGAGCAGGTTATTTGGACATCAAAATTTAACACCTTTCTTAATATGTGTTTGGACATTTCAACTTTAAAATTCTTTTTATTTTTAAAAAAAATTATATATATATATTTTAAAATATATAAGTTTTTTATATTTATTTTTTATATTGAAAGACTAAATTGATATTTTATAATATAAATATAAATTATTGAAGATTAAAATATAATTATAATTATAATTTTTTCAAAAAATTGTATTTCAAAAGTGGTTGTTATAAAAATGCATTTGAAATACTTTTAGAATTAAGTGATTTTTTGAAGTTTTGATATTAAAAAGAAGTTTTAATAAAATAATAAAATAATAAAATATTAAAATAACTATTTTAATTAGAGGTGTTTGCAGTGCGGTTTGGGCGGTTTTGACGTTAAAAATTACCCGAACCGCAAGAAAAAGAAACGTGCAGTTTGGTTTCGTTCGATTGACTTTTAGAAAAAATCAAATCAAATCAAACAAATGTGGTTTGGTTTGGTTTGGTTGGTTCGATTTTTTACAAATATTTTATTGAATCATACATACACATATAGATGATAATATAATTGTATTTAGTCATTCACACACTATCAAATAACAACAAAATTCATCATATTTGAACAACAACTTTCTATTTAATATGTAAAAATTAGATTAGACTAAAGTGGAATAATAAACATAAAATAATAGCATAAAATTAAAAATTGTTAGATGAAAATATTGAATCTCCATTTATGAACATGAGTATATGATTATGCATGAGGAAGATGATGAACATGTATAAAGTAATTAAGATGATGAACATGGATAGGATAATTCAAGCTTAGCTTGATACTTTAGTGATCAATTCATGTTCTTGAATAAGCCATAGCTTATGAGTATTTATACAATGCAATTAGGTAATGAAGTTAGTTACATTCTTAACTAACTTCATACTCACTCTAACTACCTTAACATGCACTCTAACTAACCTTAGCATTCACTCTAAACTAACATATCTACAATTATCTCTAATACACACCCTCAAGCTAATGGTGGTTTGAAAGAGGAAACCTTGAACTTCTCACAAAACAAAGTGAAGAGTTAGCTGGTCAAGACTTTGTGAGGATATCAACAATTTGAATGAGAGTTGTTGAGCGGTCATCATACCATAACTTCTTCAGCCAGAGTTAGTTTGTTGTTAGTTTCTTTTGATAGTTCATCATCATTGTCTAAGACAACCTTGCATATCCAAAATTTTAACCGAGGAAGAAGGGAATTCTTAATTATCAAAACTGTTCCAACACCTGAAGCAGTCATGACTCCAACTAAAATAAGGGCATGGGACTAGTGATATTTGGTTCGTGATAAGGTTCCTGATTAAGCATTTACACCAGTAGAACCAGGTAAAACAGGCTGTAAAGTTTGTTGTTGGGCCTGTTGCTGAATATTTGATGATGATTTCAATTGCCCATCTGGATTTCCACCATTTGTATGCACAGTCGGAGCCGTATCAGGTACACACCAAAAGGCTTCATCAATCTCCTACTTTGTAAGGTCATTCTTCTCATAAAATAACCTCCGGTACATGATGGGCAAACCTTTAAATTTTGGGTGTGACCGAAATTTCACAGCATTCTGAACTTGTTCTTACCGCAATGGTTCCGAGTTCACAAAGATTGATGTAGTTGAACTGGATTTAACAGACTCATCTACAACATTTTGGTGATCTATGTTTGTTGGTTGGATAGTTTCAGTACCTTGGCTTACATCGGCGGTGCTGGCGGTGGAGACGAGAGGAGGAGGTGGTGATTGTGTTGCCATGTTTTTGTGATGAGATTACTGTGAAGTTTCTTTCTCCGTGCATATATCGATTACAATTTGAATCCATGGATGCATTGAAAATTGAAGCTTCTTTGAAGCTTGCTTTGATCTGTAACTTTATAAAGGAAAATTGATGCTTCTTTGAAGTTTTCTTTTCTATGCAAAATTTCTGATCATTGCTTCTTTGAAGCAACTTGCACCAAGCTTCTTTGAAGCTTTCTTTGCTCTGCAAATTTTTGATCGATGCTTCTTTGAAGCAACTTACACCAAGCTTCTTTGAAGCTTTCTTGGCTCTGCAAATTTCTGAACGAAAATTCGGTGCTTCTTTGAAGCAACTTGCACCCATCATCGAGATGAAGATGATAGCGATGATGATGGTGCAGCAGAAAGAAACAGTC